TTCAGCCCCACAAATAGATGGAAATGCAAAATGAAAAATCATTACTCCAATTCCTTTAATGTAGACATATTTCCTTAAAATTCCTTTAAAATTTGAAAAAAGTGGTTAAAATAAGATATAATTTTAAATAAGATATAATTCACATAGAGCAACCAGAAATAAGGAAAATGTGTTTAAGTGTATTGGTTAAATGCAACTGGACCCTGGCGAGCTTACAAATACACATCCATTCATCCTGGTTCACTCATGAGAACTAGGTAGGTGTTGTATTTTAATACCATCGTATGGTGCCAAACAAAGATGCATTTGCTACAGAACTGCCATTGGCAAAAGTGGCATCAGCCGAAGGCAAGTACTGTCATGTCCTTGCTCCCGAGTCAGCAGACTTGACACCTTCCTTATGCACACTTTATTCTTTAAACAACCTTCTATTTTCTAGTTAAACAAGCACTTGGGGGTAAAAGAATAAAACATGATAAGAGTATTCTGACTGTCTCCCACTCATTCCCCTGAATATCTATTGAGCACCTACTACAGGTTAGACACTCCCTTAGGAGTTTGCCTTCATCTTCTTCTGGTGAATAGTAACCCAAGGTGGACTGAGAGTGCTGTTCCAAAGTTAACTAGAATATATGACAATAGGCACCATTATCATTTTCCTATTTTCAAGATGTATTCCCATTTTAACTCATATCTTTTGTGATAAAGGGTAATGCCTGCAGATAGGAATGGATTTCCTGGGGGCCCCCTCAACTGCCACTGCACAATATTTGTGATAGTCTGTGCTCATGCCTTGTGTGGCTGCTTACCCAAGTCTATTCGTGACAAAGGGTAGAATGAACCTAAGACCCATGTATTAAGTAGTGATATTGTAAAGGGGAAAAAAGGTCCAGATGGTATGAAGAAAGAATTTATACTAACCAGTCAATGAAAATAAATAAAGTAGCACACCAAATTTCTCTTTATTCATTGACCTCCAAACATAGTAAGATTACATTCAATTCTCTGTTTCTGTGAGACAGAGAAAGGTGACAATATTTATTCATTCCTTCAAGAAACAATTTTTGATTTCCTCATATATGCTAGGCACTGAGGATACTGCACTGAATAAGACATGGTAAAAAAAAATTGCCTTCTCCCCAAAGTTAGCCATCATGGAAATAAGACATGATAATAAGTGAGTATGGATTCAGCCCAATCCCCTAGACCCTCAAAGAGTAAAGAGAACACTGGGTAAACACACTGATGTTCCTAATAATTGGTGGCACTGAATAACTTTTGTTTCATCTAATAACATTTAAGTGCATTTTTAATTTATCGTGTGCTGACTATGCACAAGACACTACTGGATGCTGCAAAAACATCCATCCATAACTCAGCAAGTGTGGGAAATGAGAAATATGTAGGTTAAACAACATGAAACTGCTGATATTGGGCCTTTAAAAAAAAAGAACAATTTCTTATGGTTCGGCCTAATACAAGGGATTAAATAAGAACACTAGAAATGTCAAAAAGCAGAGAAAATTAGTTTCCCAAGGAGATTATAAATTGAATGAATTTAAGGGAAAGAGAGACCACTGTGGGCTGAAGAAAGAGCCATGAAAAGGCACACGTGACAGCTGTGAAGCAGGTCTAGGAGAATGGCCGGGGCAGGGGAAGAATACTCCAGGGGATGCACAAAGGGAGGGAGGCCAGATCTTGAGAGTGGTTTGGGGAGACAGGGAGCAGATGAGTTGGGCTGGGGTTGATGGTGGCCTCCAAGGCTACGGCCAGCTCATAGAACAGAAGATCCTCAAATAATCTCAACTCAAGAAGAGCCCTTGGGCATGAACCTTGGAAAAATGACACTTCCTCTTCCTAAGGCCCTTACTCATTAGCTCACTATTTTTCTATTCAGTACAGTCCCTGTCTGCCCACTTCTCTCCATCCTCACTGCCAACACCCTCGTCCTCATCATTGCCCACCTGAACTACAGGAACCACTTCCTAAATGGACTCCCAACTTCCAGTTTCTCTCTCCTCCCAACAAGAAGTCTGTTCTCCACACAGCATCAAAAGCACCCTTTTTATGGTACAAATCTGACCAATTGAGCCTTCATGGGCTTCCCATTTCTCTCGGCATAAAAACAAATGTAAGGAGGATTTGAGGTGCCCTGTGAGATGAAGCCTCTGCCCGCAACAGCTCCACTCAGACCTGGGCCGTGTGTCCCTGCCCCAGGCCTGCTTTTCCTGCACTCCTGCGACCTTTATTCCTAGACTCAAGTGCCAGATTAGTGCAGAAAGCCCTGGAAGGCTCATCCATCTCAACTCAAGTATTCATTCTTTAAGGAAATTTTCACTGACCTCCCTGCCTTGAAGCTCTTAATAAAGGGGCAGATTCAGGCAATAATTCAATAACTATGCATCTGTCTCCTCTAGCTTACTATAAACTAGTCAGGGATGTGGATGACAGCCAGTTTGCTCATCCCCAACATCCAGCACAGCATTGCTAGTTTATAACAAAAGAAGTATTCAATAAATGATTGATGAATGAATGAATGAATAAACAAATCCCAAGAGAAATGTGGTTGGGAAGCTCCAGCTATAACTGGAGGATCATTGTTTATAGATGGAGAATAAAGATTATGAAAAAAACTATCAGCAAATGATACATTTGCCCCAGCTGACCAGCATCTAGTTATTACAGAATGTTGGTTTGACAAAAATCTCTTTATAAACACAGGGAAGCCACAAGGTAAATAAGATATTTGTGTTAAATATGGGCTACCTCAAGTATACACGATAGGACAATAACATTTCCTACAGGAATGAGTATTCACATTTATGTCAAGTGTAGCACACACACACACACACACACACATTATATGAATGCTGTGGTCTCCACTGATGAGAGCTAACAGGCTTGGGACTATGAAGTCTTCCTGTTACACGGCTGGGATGCAGGTGAAAGGAGCAGCAGTGATGGAGTAGACCTGGTTTCTACATGCCTGCTGAGTGACCTCAAAAAGTCCCCGGGCCTCTCTGATTATTAGTTTCCTCATTTACCAAAAAATAGACATAATTATATCCCCATTATAAGATGGTAGGTGGAACTAAATAAAATAAAGTGAAACTCCTTTAAAACTGTCCAGGGGAATTCCCTGGTGGTCCAGTGGTTAGGGCCCAGGTTTGATCCCTGGTTGGGGAACTAAGATTCCCACATGCCACGTGGTGTGGCACCAACAAAACAAAACACTGTCTGTAGCTAGCTAAGTTGTTATTATGACAGCTGTTGTAAATACTATCATTGGTAATATTACTATTACTTCAGTCATGCTTATTTTAAGTCATTTGCTTATATTCACTGACTTTGGTTCACTGATGACAAATACTAGACATAAAATGAAAAAAAAGTTTTATTTTTAATGTCACAAATAGTCTTCATTTTAATTTGTTACACCTGATGTTATTTCGGGTTTACAATTATAAGCACTTTCATGTATTTGTTTAATCCTAAAACAACCCTAGGAGATGGTTGTGTTGTATCTCCAACTCACAGATGAAGGAACTGAGGTGCTGAGTTTCAGTAACTTGGCTAAGATCTCATATCTGGCAATAGTAACAACAATAATAAAAGCAAATGTTTACATGGGGCTTACCCTGTGCCAGCACCATTCTAATTGCTTTCATACGTTAACTAATATAATTCTCCTAACAAAGCTATAAGGCAACTACCTTTACTGTCCCCATTTCACAGATGACAGAACTGAGGCCCATAGAGGTTAAGTAATTTGTCCAAGTCACAGAGCTTTAAACCTCTGGTGGCAGAGCAGGAATTTAAAGCCAGGCAGGGCCTTCCCTGTTAATTGAACGCTATACTTTCACTTATTGGTGGACTTTATCCAGCTCTCTATCTGCCTAAGTGAATTTTCTAGGTAAATGTTTATCACCTTAGTAACCAAATATTACTTCAGACAGACTTTTCTCAAATTAATTAAAAGTTCCCTGTCATTTATGCAAAATACACTATATACTGGGTAACTTTTTCCTGCTGGCCCAGGATCAATGGCTGCTGTGCTTTATCCATTCTGTCTCTTGTTTTTATTTCAATTTTTGTAGGAGGGTTTTTTAGTCTCTCTTCTAGATATGTGCCATTTGATTGTGATTTTGTCACTTTGACTCTCTTGAGGGTTGTGAAGCTAGACTCCCTGTCAACTATAACTATTCCTAATACAAGACTGAATAAGCTCTGAGTTGAGCCACCCCCATGGATGTGAGTGCATGACCTTTATTAATGACTGTTGCAGATTTCAGCTGAGATGAAGGGAAGTTTGACTTCTAGATATGAATGAGCAATCATTTTACCAAACGAAAAACCATCTATTTTATTCAGTGCTCGTTTTCATGTTTTTTTTTAATCACACATGTCAGGCGGATATATGAGTACACATAGAGTTCACTTTCCTGTGGAAGACCAAGTCTCAAAAATGTAAGACTCATTTCCAAATCCAAGCCACAAAGCCTGTTCCCAAGGTGACACTTTCTATCCCCCCACCCCCATCCTCTTTATTGTTATCTCTTAACTTATTTCTCTCCCCCAGGTAAAACATAATAGAAACAGCTAACATGTACCTGGTACTTCCTATGTACCTACCATAGTTCTAGGAAATTTGTCTCTACTGATTCATGTAATACTCACAACAACTCCACTGTATTTGTAAGGAAATTGAAGTGCCGAGATGAAGCAACTTGGCAGACGCCCTGTGTCCAGCAGTGGCAGAGCTGGAATTTGAACCCATGCACCTAGCATGAGTCTGAATTCTATGGACTCTGGGCTACCACCCCTGGGATCCTGGGCTCTGAGGGCACAGGGACTTGGTTATGCTCCCTTCTGGACGCCCAGTAAACTTCTACCTCCTCTCCACCTCTCCAAGGGCTCCATTCAGCCCACTCTGACTCTGACCTCAAAGTCTGACCGGCTGAGACAGGCCTAGTGACATTCCAGGCCCTTCTTTCACTTACTTGAGACTTTACTGGTTACACTTTCTTTTGCCTCGCCTTTATCTGGCAGAGCGCCCTGGATCCATCAGATGGTCAATAAGTTGTCACTGAATGAGTCTCTTACCTGTATCAGAACAAAGTTTGTGATCAAGTAGTATAGTGTGACTGGGTAGGAGGATGATGTCCTAGAAATTGTACTTGACTGAATTAAAAGATTGATTTTTACCTTTTGTGAGCTGACCATGGAAATTTCACAATTCCAACTTTCAGTGTTTCTTTTACTTCTTTTTTAAGACTATTTTTTAGGGCAGTTTTAAGTTTACAACAAATTTGAGAGGAAGGTACAGAGATTTCCCATATACCCCCTACCCCTACACCTGCAGAGCCTCCCTCCTTACCAGAATGGTACATTTATTACCAAGAATGAACCTACAGGGACTTCCTTGGTGGCGCAGTGGTTGAGAATCTGCCTGCCAATGCAGGGGACACGGGTTCGAGCCCTGGTCTGGGAAGATCCCACATGCTGCGGAGCAACTAAGCCCGCGAGCCACAACTACTGAGCCTACGCGCCTGGAACCTGTGCTCCACAACAAGAGAGGCCGTGACAGTGAGAGGCCTGTGCACCGTGATGAAGAGTGGCCCCTGCTCGCCACAACTATAGAAAGCCCTCGCACAGAAACGACGACCCAACACAGCCATAAATAAATAAATAAATAAATAAAAGAATGAACCTACATTGATACATCATAATCACTCAATGTCCATAGGTTACCTTAGGGTTCACTCTTGGTGTTGTACATTCTGTAGGTTTAGACAAACATATAATGACATGTATCCATCATTATAGTGTCACACAGAGTATTTTCACTGTCCTAAAAATCCTTGTGCTCTGCCTATTCATATCTCCCCCACCCTCAGCTAACCCCTGACAACCACTGATCTTTTCACTGTCTCCAAAGTTTTACTCTTTCCAGAATGTCATGTAGTTGGAATCATACAGTATATAGCCTTTTCAAACTGGCTTCTTTTCTTAGTAATATGCACTTAACTTTCCCCCATGTCTTTTCATGGCTTGATAGTTAACTTCTTTTCAGCAATTCCATTGTCTGGATGTACCACAGCTAATTTATCCATTCACCCACTGAAGGACATCTTGGTTGTTTGCAGGTATTGGCAATTGTGAATTAAGCTGCTACAAACATCCATGTGAATGTTTCTAGTTTTTAGACATGCGAAAATTTATTAAGTATAAGGCACTGTGCACTTGATATGGGTTATACACATTTAGTCTTTAATATAATCCTATGAGGTGGGGGTTATTATTAGCCCATTGTACAGATAACGAAGCCACAGATAAGTGGCCACAGAGCTAAAATGTTGGAGCCAGGATTCAAACCCACGCATGTCTGACTCAAAGCCTATCTCTTGCAAACTGCACTGTACTCTCTCTCTTTCCCATGTTAAACTTATGCCATATAACAACAGCTACCATTAAAATGATTATGGCATGAAATACAGACTGTGAATTGAAATAGTTTCCAAACCAAGGATCTTGAAATTAAAGTAAAACCTGGAAGTTCAACATTCATCTTTTATAAGTGAAAGCTTTACTGGATGCTATGAAAAACAGTAACTTCTTGTTTTAGAGAATCATTCATTTAACCAGTATTTGTTGAGCCCCTGCTACTTGCAGGGTGCTATGATAGACACAACAAATGGTGAGGAAGACAAACCTGGCCTCTGCGCTCAGAGAGTCTAGAGGAGGAAGCAGAAAAGCAATTAGGCAACATTCAGAGAATGACTGGGGAGTGAGAGCAGGGTTGGGGAAGGTGCAAAAGTGGAGTCCATTGAAGGCAGTGTGAGCAACAGGGGACATCAGCACACACAGGAGAGAATGTGGCATGTTCTGGGAACAAAGATGGAACTGCTGATGGATGGCCTAACTAAGAAGTGTGGATGAGGATGACAGGGAGTCTTGGCAGGAAGTGAAATACCCTTATATGTTTTTTGGAAAGATCAGTCTAACAATAGACAGAAAAATGGATTAGATAGGGCCAAACTGCCATCAGGAAAGGTGGATGGGTGTTGAATTTAACGAAGAAACTGGTGGAAATTCTAATGTAGTGAGAAGGGATTTAGTAATGTGGGAATTGATTTGACAGCTATTAAGAAGGTATAGCCTTGATAACCGGTAGAAATGCAGAAGCGGCAGTAAGTGTCAAAGATATTGTCCAGATGTGGTTTTTGTATCTTGGTGCCCAAGACAGGGAATCCAAGGGCGAAGCACTCTGTGGGAATGGGGAAGATGGTGTTTACGGTTGTGCACGTGTGGAGTTAACTCGCGGTTGGGTTTTGGGGTCTGGTGCTTAGTGGAGCAGCCTAGGCTAGAGGTGGAGGTTTTCAAGTAATCAGCTGACATGTGGTGCCTGAAGGCACCTGAAGGCCTGGAACTGAACAGGCTCACTCACGTTGAGCAGAGAAGCAGAGGGACTGTCAGAGCAGCATCATAACATAAAGGGAAGGCAGAGAAGCGACGCCCATAAAGGGTTTTATGAAGGAGCCTCCGGAGTGTAGGAGCAGATTGGAAGAGACACACTCAGGCTTCCTGTAACCAGTATAAGTCCTTATGGAACTGAAAGGACCATCACGCATGGTTGATGGCACTTTCCCACCATCCATTCGCTAACACCAACCCGTCTGCTATGAGACAGGCTCACAGTGACTCCCGCACGCCCGACAGCCCGCACTCTCTGCCCTGCCTCCTGCCGAGGGGAGCTCACTCCGAGGCCTCGGGCTGCTCCACAAGCACCTGCGGACATCTCCCTGGAGACCCTGCCTGAAACCGCGCGCCGGCAGAGGAACGCCCGCTCCGGCCCCACTCACTGCGCCCAAGGGAGGGCCCCTCCTTCAGGCCAAGCTCGAAATCGCCCTTCTCATCGTCTCTGCTACTTACTGTCACGCTGCTCTGGATCGGGGGCCCGTCCTCCTCTCCCCTAGCCCGCGCCTGCTCCCCTCCACCTCGGGGGCACTGCTGCCAGCAGCACCGTTGGTGCATCAATCCAATCCTCCTTCCGGCCATGAAACCGGAGCGTCCTCAGCCAATGCCGACACCTCTTCTTCCACCGGCAGGGCGCCCCAGCCAATCAGAGGTAGCCATGCTGCGGCCCGCCGAACGCCGTGGCGACGGGGACGCCGGCCTCGGGTTGCCGTAGCAACCGGAGACGCGCAGGGCCGGGCCGCAGCGCGCGCTGTCGGGTGGGGCTTGAGGGCCTGTTGGCGGCGGTAGCCTCCTCACCCCGACCTCGGGCTGCCTGCCACCCAGGGTTTCCTAAACGCTGTCGGTTTCTCTGGACTCGGTGTGCCAACCTTCAGCGTTTGAAATAAAATGGGTAGGAGAGAAAGCAGCTTCATTTTGGGGTGTTTAATTTCAAGAATTGTTATGGACTAAAAATCAGTTATCTTCCAAAGCAGATGCTTAGTTTGAAAAAGATCAACGGTACCTGCTGAATAGCTTTCGTGTAACGTGGAGACAGTTTCAGCGACTCTGGCGTGAAAGTACGAGTGAGCTGTGTGGGACACCTGTCACTAGTTCGTTTTGTGGCACTGGGCAAGGCTCTTCACCTTTTGTGAAAGTCTGAAGCTTTTTATTGAAAAAATTTTAATTTTATTAAAGCTTTTTTTAAAAAAATACTCTTTACATTGTGAAGCTTCAAAAAATGAAAAATATTGAGCGTTTATTTTGTGCCAGGGACTGTTCCAAACTCTTTCCTCGTTATTTCACCTACTCTTCACATCATCTGCTTATTTTTTATTTATTTATTTTTGGCTGCGTTGGGTCTTCGTTGCTGTATCCGGGCTTTCTCTAGTTGCAGCGAGCGGGGGCTACTCTTCGTTGCAGTGCACGGGCTTCTCATTGTGGTGGCTTCTCTTGTTGCAGAGCACGGGCTCTGGGCGTGAGGGTTTCAGTAGTTGAGGCACACAGGCTCAGTCGTTGTGGCTCGCGGGCTTGGTTGCTCTGCAGCAGGTGGGATCTTCCTGGACCAGGGCTTAAACCCGTGTTCCCTGCATTGGCAGGCAGTCTTATCCACTGCGCCACCAAGGAAGCCCCCATCTGGTTATTTTTCATCCTAGTTTAGAGTTGTAACATGGAGGCCCAACAGGGCAGAGCTGGTAAGTGATGGAGGCAGGGGAGAACCTAGAATTTCAATCCAGAGCCCAGTATTAACCACCATGCTGTCTGTCCCCCGGACAATTTAATCTAGGACCTACTCAATCCCATCTTAATGTTGCTCCAAGTGCCCACAGGAATGTCAATTAGTGTGGTGATTCAACCTCCCAAAACCTGATTTAAAATGAATACAGTGAATGCTTCCGTGATGTTTCTCTGCTTTGAATAATAATGAAAAGTAGGCCTAATGGAATAACAACACTTAGGTCTGAGTACTTGAAAATACATATTTAAAACGAAAACAGTAAGGTACCATTTTGGAAATACAGAAAGGTGAGATGAAAGTCAAACTCAGGTGAATGGAGCAGAACTAATTATACTTCAGAAAACATAAAACCAGTAGAAATAATGTTACCAATCAAAACACAAAAAGTTGAGGGGGAAGGCAGACTGATGCTGAGTAGAAAAAGTATTCTCTACAGACATTTTAAACATTATGCAGGAGACAAAATTACTCCTCTGAACTTTTCTTCATCAGAATATTGAATGTGCTTCCCACCTTTCTTCTCCTCTCTTAAAATAAAATCTTGCTTTGTCACAGCTTACACCCTTCCCCCTCCCCATATCCTCAAGTCCATTCTCTAGTAGGTCTGTGTCTTTATTCCTGTCTTACCCCTAAGTTCTTCATGGACATATATACACTACCAAACGTAAGGTACATATAGCTAGTGGGAAGCAGCCGCATAGCACAGGGAGATCAGCTCGGTGCTTTGTGACCGCCTGGAGGGGTGGGATAGGGAGTGTGGGAGGGAGGGAGACGCAAAAGGGAAGAGATATGGGAACATATGTATATGTATAACTGATTCACTTTGTTATAAAGCAGAAACTAACACACCATTGTAAAGCAATTATACTCCAATAAAGATGTAAAAAATGAAATAAAATAAAAATAAAATAAAATCTTAAACCAATGTTTTGGCCTTCCCTGAATGTAACTGAAAATTGCAGAGATGATTATGAAGCATGGGACACACCGGGCTCTCCAGGAGAGGAGCACCACACCCACCCAGGGCCCACACTGTACTCTGTGAGAAATATACACGATCCCAGAGGGGTCACGCCTGCATCAAGCTCATGGCTGATGTGGTAGGGTCCAAATCTGTAAGACCTAACATCCCCTTCTGGTATTTTTGAATACCCTTTTTACTATCCTGAGGTGAATCCACAGATAATGTAAATTACATACTTCGGAAGTAAAAGAGTGTAACGTGTAACTATAAGGAACGAATAAAATTAACTTAAATAGGTATTAAAATAAATATTCAGAATCAACAAGAAGAAAAAAATAATTCACCAAATTTCTAAAATACTCCTAGATCACTGGTCTAGGACAAAAAAACAAACATAAAGAGGGCTTTTTTTTTTTTTTTGCGGTACGCAGGCCTCTCACGGTTGTGGCCTCTCCCGTTGTGGAGCAGAGGCTCCAGACGCGCAGGCTCAGCGGCCATGGCTCACGGGCCCAGCCGCTTCGCGACATGTGGGATCTTCCAGGACCGGGGCACGAACCCATGTCCCCTGCATCTGCAGGCGGACTCTCAGCCACTGTGCCACCAGGGAAGCCCCAGACACACTCTTGTGTGGAGGCAGGAGAATGATCTTACAGAACACAGCACGAGGCAGAGCACAATTTGTAGAAAATGCAGAACTTAAATTGAGCTTTGCAAGAATAGCAGAGAAACAGAAAGGAAGGTTTTCCAAACAATAGGAATGTTTTCATTAAAAGCATAGAGGTAGTGAGATAAAGGTCACTGAACTGATACTGGAAAGATCAGATATACCTTAAGCAGCAAGATCAAACAAAAACTAGTGAGAAACTCCCTATTTCCCTTCTTCTCCCCGCCCCCAACCCCCACAAAAATCTCAAAGTTCTGTTGATGGGAATAGTAAATTGACAAATTCATTGTGGGATATCAGAAACTTTACAGTGCAGAAAACACAGGAGGAAATTGTTACATACGTGCCTAATGGAAAACAAACCAAGGCCTGTCATTAGCTATTACTAAAAAAATTTCATAATGAAATTAGCCATTAAAAACAAAAAAGCCTTGAGTCTATGAAAGTTCAGTATTAACATGCTCATTACATATCATGTAATGTGATGTGTGTTTATTACATATCCCATTGCAAAATTCTATTCTAAACAGATGTGTTTTAAAATAGGGAAAATAATGGATCAGCCTATCTTAAAGGGCTTTAATTTCAGTATTTCTTAACTATCAAAAAATCATTGTGAAACACACACTATTTTGTTTCGTCTTCTTTTCTCACTGTTTCCTCTTTTCTGTCTTCTGCTTAGGAAAATTAGGAGGCAGGAAATAAAAATCACTTATTTTTCTCCATCCCCTATCAGGTTCTCATGAGAAAGACATGCAGCTCTTCTAATATCAAAATAAAGACAATATTCAACAACTGATTCAGTAGACTTTTATTGATCTTTCAACTTCAATAACATCTCCAAAAATAGTTTTCTTCTAATATTATGAAACAGATTTGAAAGGCAGGATTATTCACATTATAGACTTGGTAGATACTTGTACTTCATATAGATGAAAAATATCACTTCTACATTTTAAATGTTTACTTTGGATTTTATTATAAAAGAAAATATTATCATTGTATAATTATAAAAGTCATAAAAATTAGAACTGTACTGTTATTATACCAAGCTATCAAATACTGTATAAATGAACAATAAAATTCAATTTCTATTTATTTAAATGTAGTAAACATTGGAAGAGAACCCCCCTACAAAAAAAAAAAGCTCTTAATATGAAAGTAACAAAAGAAAAGCCACAACACAAGAATCATCAACGCACAAAATTCTGATTAAAAAAACAACTGTTAACAAGTACTCTAAGACAAATGTAGAAGTCAATATATGCTAATTAAATTTTTAAAATGATCTTTAGACAATTCCATTTCCAACTATGTTTTCCTATTATCGACACTCAAATTACTTTTTGAAAAGTTAGAAAAGAACCAACTTTACATTAAAATTGCCAAATTTTGAAGTAAGAACACTATTTTAAATTTTGGATGTCCTTAAACTCTTTAAGTTTACTTTCTAAAAAAATAATTGTTGGACTAAACCAAGACAGTTCACATAGTTCTACTGCATATGATAACAATGATGTGATCTACATAAATAAATTTAAAACATTAAATTATTTAATTTAAACGTTTTTGAATTACAATGTTATATTAATGGCTTACACATCCGAAATCTGAGCACTTTAAAACAGGATTCACATGTTACACTGTTGAGCACATTTACAGAACTTATATACATGATACAGTCCTTTAAAAACAGCAAGCTCTGGTGTCATACCTCTGTTTCGGAAACCATTTTCCTTTTTACAGAATTTTGAACCTGCTTTTGCAAAAGGTAAAAGTTATAAAGCTATTATATATATACATAAACTTTAGGTATATGGAAGAAACTTTTTTTAGATGGAGAAAACGAAAGTAATTTTGAGTGGTAAAGAAATCTGCTTTATAAATACATGTGTTAGCACATAAAAAATTCTGTCCTACACATTTTATATGCTTGGCAAATATGAACAATGATATGCCACAGCTTTTTTAAACAACTTGAGAGATTTATGATTGACAACATCATTCACACAAGCATACTCACATATACAACACCCATTAGAAAGATCGTGTGCCTCACTTCGTATATCTAATATCATTAGAGAATATATAGCATCATCCTTTTATCATAAGGAAGTTTTTAGTTCATTGTCTTCTCAAAAGCGGCAATTTTAGAGTGAAATAGCATTCAAGTGAAAGTGAATTTCAGATGGTCAACATGAGGATGTATTACAGTCCTTGTAAACAGA